GCTTGTGGGGGCAACTGGTGGCCTCGGTAGGGCATGAAGGGCGGACTGAAACACCCCCCTTCCCATGAGGTTTTAGTCGCCCCCACACTCCTGGCTCATACCTGCTGTCCACAAGGCTCCCATGTGGCCGCCATCTTTCTTTCCAGAGAGGAGAGGGCGAATGGGGCAACACCCTTTCCCCTCCGGCAGACTTGATGGCCTGGATCAACGCATAGTCCGTTCACTTTTCTGCTCCAAGCTGCTGGGTTCTGCATTAAGTCCTTGTGCTTCTGGGGCCGTGGCTGTGCTGGAGAGCCGCTCGCGGGGGGCGACTGGTGACCTCGGTAGGGCGTGAAGGACGGACCAGAATGCCCCCCGACCCATGAGGTTTTAGTCGCCCCCACTCCCCCGGCTCATACCTGCTGTCCACAAGGCTCCCATGTGGCCGCCATCTTTCTTTCCAGAGGGAGGAGGGCGGAAGGGAGCAACACCCTTTCCCCTCTGGGCAGAAATGATTGCCTGGATTAACGCATAGTCCTTTCACTTTTCTGCTCCAAGCTGCTGGGTTCTGCATTAAGTCCTTGTGCTTCTGGGGCTGTGGCTGTGCTGGAGAGCCGCTCATGGGGGACAACTGGTGACCTCGGTAGGGCGTGAAGGACGGACCAGAACGCCCCCCTTCCCATGAGGTTTTAGTCGCCCCCACACCCCCGGCTCATACCTGCTGTCCACAAGGCTTCCATGTGGCCGCCGTCTTTCTTTCCAGAGGGAGGAGGGCGGAAGGGAGCAACACCCTTTCCCCTCTGGGCAGAAATGATTGCCTGGATTAACGCATAGTCCAAAAGGATGCACTTTTAAGTGGTTGGGCTGTGAAGACAGTGTGGGGTCCTGTATTGCAAAGTGCAGACACTTAACAATATTTCCTTTCCTCGCCCTCACAGTTTAAAGCTCATGCATCGTTCTACTACCCTCTCTTATGTGAAATTATGCAATTTGACTTGATTCCTGAACTTCGCGCTGTTCTTAGAAGATTTTTTCTGCGAATTGGAGTAGTTTTTCAGATATCACAACCACCTGAACAGGACCTTGGAGTAAACAAGCAATGATGGTATCTTAATATTCTTCTGTTGGCGTTTACATCCCTCTGCTCTTTCAAAGGACTCTGGAGCTGAGGTTTCCTACCTGAAAAATGGTTTCTCTGAATTGCAGTCTCTGAGGTGACTGGTGAAGATGCTTAGAACTTGAACGCAGACTTGTAGTGGCTCCAGTCCCTTTTAATAATCTGATGGATTCTGTTTGCCATGTTGGGCTCATGTTGAGCAGAAAGCCTGTATCCATCCATTGTCAACTTAGGCTCGTTTGTCCTTCCCTATCCTCGACTGCAGGGGGCGCCCCAGATATTTTTGGTAGGTGTGGAAGTGAAATTTACCCAAAGAACTCTAGATTTAAGATTTGACTTTCTGCAAGTACTGCAACTCAGGAGAGCTGTATTTTGAAGGATAAAATGTTTTTAATTGGGGGTGGGAGAGAAGAAATTATTGTTCGTGGTAAAAGATATTTAGCAACTATGGTATTCTTATTCTGAAGATTTTTGCACACTCAGGCAAGCTGAGATACTGGTAATCATCCTTCTATGGAAAATGTACAGAGATGCAGGTCTGGAACATAAAAATCTTAAACATTATATAGTTCTTCCTGCAGTTTTATTTCTTTATTTTCTTATTCATTTGCTAAATACCTATAATATTTTGTCATGCACTAAACATTTAGGTTAAACTTTTTTTTAATTTTGTGGGGGTTTTTGGGGGGTGGGAGGGAGTGGATGTGGCAATTTTGAGGGTTTAATATGCCCGAAGCTGTTGTGGCTGACACTTGTCATGATCAACAACCACCAAAAAGAGGTAGAAAATATCCCTTCTGACATAACTACCTGTAATATACTTCTCTTAGGGCTTCTAAAGATGAGCCATTAAAATAGAATGATCCTTCATGGACCGAAACTTGAATCACTGCAAAATGAATCTAGGTTGCTGTCAATTTCTTTTCTTTCTTTTGGGCGTGGGGCTTGATGTAGATTTTACTCTGTGTACAGAATTTAATGTTGAATATATTAAGATAACAATTCTGGCATGGTTTGGGGAGGTTAGATTTACTGGAAATGTATTCATACTGTGAATTGTGCTCTGATGGTTTAAAAAAGACAAGATGTCAAGCATTCCGTATTAACAGTGGATGTAGAAAATTTTTTCAGATGGATAAGATGTATATGGTACAGATGTAAAGTTTTTTATGTAAAAAATTCTGTACAACTTTCTGTACAATATTGATTCTCATCTGGCATATTCTAATCAGGTTATAGGTCAATAAAGTTTTTGGATTATTTCATCAATGCAATCAAAACCTATATAATCCACTGCCCCATGTTTTTGTTTTGTTTTGGTTTTTATTTTTTTTTTTTTCAGTTAAAGTCACACTATAAAAAGGTTATTTATCCAGGACCACAAATTATTTTGTTCTGATCATTTCTCTCCAGCTTCTGGCATCTATTCCTCCTTTGTGTAATCTTCTCTTCCTCAGAGCTGTGAAAACTACTTTATCTCGGGTGACACAATGAGGGATTACACATTAATGGATGTTCGCGGGCTCTCCCTCACCGCCCATGTTTGGTGCTCTCGAACCGCTTCCCCACCAGGGACAGCCATGGGTGGATGGAGGAGGAACGAAGGCCAAGCTGGTTGGTGATCAGTTGCTGTTTATTCCATCTCTCATCTCTCCCAAACTCTCTCCAGAATTCTTTCCCCCTCTCACCACTACTCTCTCCAACTCTGCCACTAACTCGACAACTCTCCAAAGCAACTGTCTGTCTCTCACTCTGCCCGCAACTCTCTAACTCCCCGCAACCACCACCTTAACCACCTCTTCTCTAAACACACCTGCCCCCTGGAAGCACAATCAACATGTTTATCAAGCCTTTTTGCCCACTTGCAGCCCAGGAGGGCAAAAGAGCAGCTAAGCTGTGTTTCTCCTCTCCTTAGACTAGTAGCACTGCACTGTAGCTCTGTCCTCCCATTGATCATCGATTTGCTCGAGCGGGCACCAGTAACGTCTCCATTGTGAGACTGGTTACTGTGTTTGGCATATCGAATACATTATGGGGAGCTTGCCAGGCTCTGCTGTGTGGGCAGGATAACTTCACATCTTAATTCTACTTCCTACTATTTGTCATTCTGTATGGACACAGTAATAGACACATTTAGGCTTGTAGGGTGACTCTCTTGGGGACATCTTGCCACAGACTTGAGACTACAGTGCTCAGGCCGGGTTAATCACTCCTAACCCCAGCAGGGACTGAATCTAGTTATTACTTTTTGGATCATGCCAGAATTTGTCCATGACCATGCTTGTAACTTATAGTTAAGTATTGTGGCACTTGGCCTGGCCCATTTCAATGCCAGGGTAGCTTACAGCTTTCCCTGGGTCCATCCAGTCCCTCATCAGAACCCTGTTTTGGGGGGATCTAGGAAGTAAGGGCTTAATTGAGAGAGCAGATGTCCAGAAGGTAGTATTATATGGAGTCAACTTAACTCCCAAGTTACAGAAGCATGTCTTTTTAACTATCTTCCTGTGTCTGTACAAAAAGTAATTGCTCTGAAGTAACTAATCATGCAAAGGATATTAAGGAGAAGAGAAAATATTTACAAGTCATCAGAGTCTGATCAGGAGGCAAAGGTAATTGACAGGTTGGGGGAGAAATCAACAAACCCAAGCTCCCTGTGGCCAGGGAGGAAGGGCAAACTAGTGTTATCCTACACTCCTTGCTTTTCTATCATAAGATATTAGTAAATATCTTGTCTATTTATTAATAACCCTGAAAAATGCTATGCTATGTGAATGCTGAATCTATAGTGTGCAGTGAACATTCTGTGTCCCAGGAACTGGTTCAAGTTGTTTCCTACAGTAGCATTTAAAAGGAAAAGGGAACACATCAAGGAAATTTCACATTTGGGTTAAAGTGTTGAGTTTTGCTCACACACCTTAGACAATGCGCAGATATTGAACAACACATTTGAAATGTATCATATTTATTGCCACAAGACAGAGCCCCCTCAACCACAGTTGGATACTTGGATACATAAGATGGGGAGCCAGTGACCTTTCCACCTGAGGTGTTAGTGTTTCAAATGACCTGGTTGTTTATGGTACAGTATTAGATTATCTGTAAAAGGAGACCAAAGAATTCATTTTTTGGATAAAGGTAAAATATATACAGTAAAATACAAATTCAGTATAAAATTCAATGAAACTGGAACTTTTGTTTTGAGGCCACAAGTGACAGTGCTCAGGCGTTACCCCTGGCTATACATTCAGGAATCACTCCTGGCAGGCTCAGGAAGACCGTGCTGGGTGCTGGGGATCGAATTTGTTGGCCAGATGCAAGACAAACTCCCTTCCTGCTGTACTGTAGCTCTGGCCCTGTCAGAACTTCTAAAACAACAGAAATTGAGGGCATCAGAAATTGATTATAGAGGTTAAAGTACTTGGTTCCAATCCTGGCAGCATTTACAGCCCAATTCAAGTGTGGGGCCTCTGACTCAAGTCCCCAAATCATAAATTGGCCACAGAAATAAACAGCACAGGAGATTAGGCACTTTACTTGCATATGGCTGATCCCAGTTCCAACCCTGTCGCTGCATGTCCCCCAAAAAAGCACCAGGGGTCACTCCTGAGCACTCTGGGTGTGGGGTAAGCATACCTCCACTGCCTTGCCCCAATAAAATACCAGAAACTTCTTGAGGTAAACATGTCTGATTTTTGTCTGCCATTTATTGTGTCAGTGGAAACATGTAAAAAAAAATGTTTTTCCCCCCCTCAGATTTAGCTTAATCCTTTTTCCTAGGCTGTTTATTGAGTAGAAAATCCACCCATTCATAGTAGAGAAACAAAGACTCCACCCTGGGTGTTCCTGCTGCTTCTCAGCTTAGTCCAGAAACCTCAATACCAGTTAAATAATAAATCCACATAGGTAATGAAAATAATTTATTTCTATCAGGAAATAGTTAAATCATATAAATTAGTAAACATAAGACAATGCCTTTGGCACAAAAATAGAGGCAGAAGATGTAACATTTGGTGCATGGCTCTTGTAAATAAAATCAATTCTGATTCCCATTATATTGAATAGTAGCTATAAATAACTAGTACATCTGATTTCCATTACATAGCAACTGAAATGTAGTCACAGCTACAATTAGTATATTTATGTTTACTAAATGAATTACTCTGAATAAAGATAGCAGTAGCAAACGTACATATAAGAGGGTATTCTGGTTTTACAGTACTGTCTTACAGTACTGTCTTACAGTACTGTTTTATTCACCTTATTGACAAGCAGAATTTAAAATAATGCACATACGGTAGCTGATTCCAAGAATTTATCATCACCCTAATTTATGACAAAATTGTGCAAAAATAATTCTTTACAATTCTACGTTATATAAATTAATAATCATGGCCTTTTATTTATGTACATTATATACATCATATACATCATCATGGAAAAGAAGATACAATATACAGATGGAACATGAAAACCTCCAAAGGTCAGAAGTAGCACATGTATACTAAAGATTAGAATTCAACATTCTTTTCCCACTTTAAAGGCACTGCTGTGTCAGAACAAATCCACTTTAACCATGTGCAGTGGACAGGCCCTGCCAATTGAAAGTGCCTGGTTTGCCCGGAACCTGCTGCTGCTCCTGGTTCAGATGCTCTGCCATGAATCTTTTCAGTGTTTCTGAGGTGCCAGGGCGGAGCCAGGGTTCAGTGGCGACAGAGTTGGATCCATCATCACCTGCTTGCTTCATGATGTCGTCAGGGTCAACCAGGGAACTCTCATCATCTAAAGGAAGCAAGGGAGACCTGTCTCAGTGACCCAGGTGAGAGGCAGATGACACAGAGATGACCTCTAACCTACCTCAGTTCAACCCTGCATTTTCCACAGTGTTCTGATGCTTTAATGTTTGGTGCAAATTCTCATTTTAGAGAGAGGAAAGCTAATCGGGAAAGATTAATGGGTAGGTGAGTTCTGCAGTGCCAGCACTCCTATAGCAAAGGATGGCAGAGGAGACTGCCAGGTAACAAGCTGGCTGTACGCTTGAGGCAATCTCATTTTGTGTGACCTTGAGGAACTTGGTACTGCATGAAAACTTGAACTTAGCAAGGTCTGAGCAAGGTTCAGCCTGGGGACTGGAGAGAGAATAAAGCAGGTGTTTGACTTGCACACAGTCTACCCAGGCTCTATCTCTGGCATCCAGATGGTCTCCCAGGCACCACCAGATATGATTCCTGAGTGCTAAGTGCGGAGCCAGGAATAATCCCCAAGGATCACCAAATGTGGTCCAAAAATTAAAAAAACAACCTATATAACACTGCTATAAGAGAATCACTAGATGGCCAAAATAACTGTCTTAACCTAATCAACAGGCTGTTGAAGAGGTGGATTTATAATTTAATTCTTGAACTGAATCACACTCAACGTCTATATCAGTATCTTAATTACTATAAAACATTATAGGAAAATCTATCGTGTGGTGTGCCTTTTTCTTCTTCTTCTTCTTTTTTTAAATTATACTCCTGGTCTGTGATGGGTTAGCTCAGCAAAGGATTATACGCAATCAGTTTAATGAGAATCAATCCACACCGTACCAAAAAGCTCCTGTTTGAAAAGACAATGTTTGAAAAAAAAATTTTAGAAGGCAGAAAACTTTGTTAAAATGTTCTATTTTATTTAAATATAGGACCTGAGCAATAATACAGCAGATAGGGCATTTGCTTACATGCATCCAACGTGCATTCAATCCCTGGTATTTCATTCCTCGAGCTCTACCAGGGCTGATCCCTGAGTGCAGAGCCTGGATTAGGCCCTGAGCACTGCCAGGAGTGGCCCCAGTACAAAACAAAGAATATCCATACAAAAAACTCATTAGTTCTAAATTTATAACTAATTTTCAGGGCCAGAGAGATAGTAGAGGGGTTAAAGATGCCTTGCTTGTCCCCTAATTAAATCCCAGCACCACATGTTCCTGAGGAGTGATCCCTCAGTACAGAGCAAGGAGCAATCCTAATCAGAGCAAGGTGTGGCTCAGACACCAAAGGGGAAAAAAAGACCCCAAAAACCAAACAGGCAACTTTCGGGTACATTTTTGTAAAACAAAAGAAAAGCTTTAGTGCTATTTCACATTTCTCTAGGTATGATAAATATTTAATCAGTTTATCATTTAATATTTGGTATGAAACTGATCATTACAATCAATTCCATACCAATCTTCGTTGCTAAGGGTTGAGCACAGTTTCAAATTAATACAGTATTAGAGGATCTAAAATTACCTTAATTCCTATTAGAAAAGTAAATAAAGTTTACCATTTTGATGCCTGTCTATATCACTAGTAGCTCTCAAATCGTAATTTTTTACAAATTGTGGAACAGCATCATCATGTTCTTAATTAAAAGAATGGTTCGAACCACTCTACCATTTACTACTAAAACTAATAATACAAGAAAGCTTAATCTCTATAAAATTGTCCCTTTACCTACCTCAATGACTAGAGGCACCAACATAAAAAAGTAGCACATGGAGAGTAGTAAATTGAACAGCTACTGTTGACCCAGGTTACATCCCTGGCACCACATAGGTCCCCTGAGCACTGCCAGAAGTGATCCCTGAGCTCAGAGCCAAGAGGAAGTCCCGAGTACTGTTGGGTATGGCTCAAAAGCAGAGAGAGGGCAGAGTTGTTCATTGCCTAAGGAGTCCTACCTGACAGCACTTACTGTAGCAAACCCAGTAAGAGCTGAGCTTGATTTCAGTCAAAAGCTATTTTGCTTTGTCCATGGTACAGAAAGCCATGCATGTGAAGGGTAATCAATCTGCCTTTGTGTTAGCTAAAGGATTTCTGACATCTCTCACTTTAGTAAGGGAAGTGCTGACACTGTGACCCTGATGAAAGTGAAGTCAATGCATGTAATAAGCAAAAAGTTGCCTGATTACAGTCCTCTCAAACAAGCACTCTCTGTTACAAATCCAGGCGCGAAATTAGTCCAGGCTCCCACTTTATGCTGGATAAACCCCAACTTAGAGCACTACCATGTCATCAGCCCTCCAACCCAAAAGATTTCAAAACTCGTTCCATCTTTTCCCCCAACAATCAGTGAAAACAGAGAAGCAGATTTTAAACTTATAAACAAAATTGCTATGGATCATTCACTTGGCTCTTTACCTGTATTAATAGGCCTATTCTGAAGTTCATTCAGTCTTCGCATCCGTTCCTCATTTCTTGTTCTAAGTTGATCAATACTTATACTGGATATGGATTTTAAAGAGAGATTATCTGGTGGTACTTCAGGACGACTATTATCCTATAGTTAAAAACCACAAAGAATCAGAAATGATCATTAACAAAATTGATTTTGCCCATATAAATGTATCAACAGAGCCTTATAGAGTGTACACAGCAGGTTTAGTGTTTGATTGGCACCCACCCAATCCAGATTTGATCCCCAGCACCCAGTATGCCCCCCCCCAAGCCTCACCAGAAGCCCTGACAGGTATGTCCCCAAAACAATGCCAAAAATTATATATGAACAAAAATAAAACAAAAGGCAATCTTTTATAGCATTTACATTCTAAATCCTAGTATTTCTATGTAAGTGCAGATGAGAGTATAGCATTGATAACATACTGCCAGAATAGACAGAGATTAGGAATGGCAAGACATGAAAGGAAGAAATGGAAATAGGGTCTTCATTCCATCTATGTGAGGCAGCATAGTACTGGTATTAGGATAGACACTGAGCAACAGGACAGAAATGAGTTCAGAAATAAATCCATACATTACAGACAGAGGAGCAAAAAAAGTTCATAATGAATAGAACCAAGGGAATAGAATTATCTTTACATTGTCTTTACACTGAAGCTGATACATCGTGATGTCCACATGAAAACGAATGAATCTGTACCAACCCTTCTTACTGTGCACAAAAATTAACTCAAAGAATTATTGGCTTTAACTGCAGAGCTAAAACTTAAAATAGAAGTAGCTTTCATTATCTTAGGTTAAGCACTGCCCCATGGGTCTACCTCAACAATGTATAATTCTTCTGAGGAACTAACATTTCCATGGCAGACTCTGCCAGACAGGTAAAGAGTTTATAACGTGGTCATCCAAGGAAATAGAAAAAAGTACCAACAGTATGGGGCTGGAGTGACGGTACAGTGGATATGGTGTTTGCCTTGCACGTGGCTGATTCAGGTTTGCTCCCCAGCACCACATATGGTCCCCAGAGCACACCAGGAAGTGATCCCTGCGTGTGCACCAGGAGTAAGTCCTGGGCATTGCTGGGTGTGGCCCAAAGCAAACCCAAGAAAGCCAGTGCAATAAAGTTTATTGATCTGTGCAGGGTCATCCAGATGGGCAGGTGAGTTCAGAAAAGAGATTCCCCAAAGTATCCATCCTACAAGCTCCTTTTGGGGGTCAGGGGTGGAGGGGAAGAAGCACTAAACATGCCACTGCTGCCCACACCCTTTCTAGTAAATCTACCTTTTTTGCAAAAAAATTGCCCCCCAATTGCACCTGAGCCTACCACTACTTGAACTGTTCAAAAGTCCCCAGGAGCAGAACTGCCCACTTTGGGGATTGAGAATCCAACTCCTGTCCACCTCGTGGAACAAGCAAGTCCTCTTCACTCGACTATCCCAATTTAGCGTAGGTCTGAACACACTGTAAACTGGAAAAGGGGGAAAGAAAGTTATTTCCTACATACAATATCCAGATCCTTCATTTTGTTCCTCCTGCGCTCCCTGGCAGAGGGAGGCTGCGGTGAAGGAAACAGCGCATCATCTTCGATGGCAGGGTACGTCTCACCGTAGGCACCTAGGAGAAACACAGGGAGACTCAAACAGCCATCAGTGCTTCTTCCCCAAGGGGACCATGTGGTGCTGGGGATCAAATCCAGCCCTTTGGTCTATGTCCCCAATCCTCCAAATTCTTTTACTCAGTTAAGCCAAGACTTTTTAAAATACTTTTTTTGTTGAATGTCTTTCTGCACCAATTAATAATGTCCAGTGACTTCCTCCTTAATTTATCATTACAACAGACAAAATGAATGAGTATAAACCAGTTTTGATAAGTGTATATCAGGATGTTTCTAAACCAGTTTTATATACCTGACATAAATCCTACTTGGCTTTGGTATATGGAATTATTTTTATACACTATTGGATTTATTTTGCAATTAAATGTTTTATGTTTGCATGCATGTCCACGAGACATATAATCGGTCATTTTCCTGTGGTGTTTTTAATCTGCTTTTGGTATTTGGGTAATTCTGATCAGATATAGTTAGTCCTTCCCCTGTTTCTGTTTTGTGGAAAATATACAGGAGGAAAGCTATCTGGAAGTCTTTATTAGAAAGTGGTATCATTCATTCTCCCCTAAGTGTTTGTTAGAATTAACCAATAATCACCTGGGATTTGCTATCATGGAAGGTTTCTAATTATTTTTTTGTGTCTTTTTCTTTTTCTTATTGCTATAGCACAGCTGTAGGGCGTTTACCTTGCACGCAGCCAACATGGCCGACCCGAGTTCGATTCCTCCACCCCTCTTGGAGAGCCCGGCAAGCTACCGAGAGTATCTCGCCTGGCAAGCTCCCCGTGATGTATTCGATATGTCAGACACAGTAACAACAAAGTCTCCAATGGAGACGTTACTGGGCCCGCTCGAGCAAATCGATGATCAACGGGAGGGCCTTTACTTTTACTTACTTACTTTTTTACATATAGTTAATTTGGGCTTTTGAAACATAATATTATACTAGTTTAAAGTATGCAATGTATCACCTGCCTTAGTGTAAACCATAAAATGTTTCCCGTACTAGCGTAACATATAAACCTCACATAATCACCATGCTGTTATGGAAGAACATTAAAGCTCTACTTTCATAGCAGTGTTCAATTATGCACTACACTAGTGTTAACTGTTGTCACCCTGCTTAGACAGTACGCTCCCAAAACTTGCTTGTTATATTGGCCTAGTATTAGGTCAAGAGTAAAATGAGATATGCCAAAACAGTATCTTTGGGGCAGAGGGTCACAGAGGTTATTTTAGTGGCCCTAGACTCTAGCGAGAAGGAATAAAACAGTGAAGAAGAAGGGAAAAAGAAATAGACAAGAAGCAATGGGAACAGGGGCCAAAGGGATTCAGGTACATTGGCGGTGTTAAGACTGATAGAGCTAAATATCCAAATCAGAGTCAATAACATTGAAATCACGAGACTTAAACTTTAATAACCAAACTTAAAAAGTTCTGTCAAGATGGCAGGCTGGGGAGGGTCGGGGTGTTGGGGGCGCCTGAGCCAGGGGAACCATGGAATACTGTGTGTAAAAAACCCAACTATGAACAACTTTGGAACTTATAGGGCTTCAATTAAATTGGGGGGGGGGGGGGTTGGGGGAAAGTGACTTCGGGCCATATCCCACAGTGCTCAGAGGCCCTGGCTCTGCTCAGAGGCCTCTTCTGCTACTGCTTAGCCACACGCAAGGGTAGTGCTTTAAGCCCTGTACGATCTCTCCAGCCCCCAAACTCTATTTTGAGTGCCAGGACTTCCTGGTTAGCAGGACAGCTCGTACATCCCCAAGACGTCACAGACTCGGCTCTCCTCCCAGCCCTGTTGCCCTGGTTTCTCCATCTTTCCCCTTTACAATAAGATCTCCTTGGAAAGAACGCACTAAACAAATTTAAGATACAAATACAGGAGAGTTTGAAATTTCTATTATATTAAACACATTATGTAGAAAAGGTAATTAATTCCTTGCTAGTCCTAGGAAGACCATGCTAATGACCATAACACTCAGCTATACTGGCCCACCCTTAGCTGTAATTTCACTTACCTCCAGTCAGCTGTGGTTGGAAAATATTACAAACAATAGTATTATTTTGAAAGAGACTAAGTTTATAAAACTTTCATTATACTTATAACTGGCCTATTTTGTTGGTGGTTGTTTGTTTGGATGTCAGACCCAGCAGTCCTCAGGGCTTACTCCTGGCTCTGCCCTCAGGGATCACTCCTGGTGGATTTGAGGACCTCATGAGGTGATGGGGATAAAACCCACGTTAGCCACATATAAGGCCAAGTGCCCTACCCACTATACATCACTCCAGCTACTACCGAGCCTATTTTAATACAATTTTTTGTTAATCTCTTATTGTGTTTAGTCTATAAGCTAAGTTTTAATCACAAATTATATATAGAAAAACATACTACATGAAGGGTTCTACACTATTCAGTTTAGGCATCCACTGGGCATAAATAAACTACTAAATAAATGTATATTACAGTACTTAAGAAAAAAAGATCTAGGGGGCTGGAGCTATAGCATAGCGGGTAGGGTGTTTGCCTTGCATGAGGCTGACCCGGGTTCGATTCCCAGCATCCCATATGGTGCCCTGAGCACCGCCAGGAGTAATTCCTGAGTACAGAGCCAGGAGTAACCCCTGTTCATTGCCGGGTGTGACCCAAAAAGCAAAAAAAAAAAAAAAAAGTAAGAAAAGAAAGAAAAAAGATCCCCTGATAACTTTACATATGTGAATTATATTTATGATTTTTTTCATTGAAGTAACTGCAGAGTCACATAAAATTTTAAGAAATAAAAAATCAAGGGACCAGAGAGAAAGTGCAACAAGTAGGGCGTTTGCCTTGCATGCAAACCATAGGTTTGATCTCTGACATCCTATATGGTCGCCTGAGCACCAACCAGGAGTAATTTTTTGAGTGCAGAGGTGAGGAATGAACCCTGATATACAATAGGATTATTGTTTGGGCCACGTGTGGCCCAAAAACAATGATTTGTTTTAATCTATACATTTTTCTAATTTTCACCAAAACAGGCTCAACAATTTCACATCAGGATAATGATACTGATATACTGATATATGTTTTAAAAACTTCCCCAACTGAAACCCAAGCACAAAATTTGTAAGTCTACAACTGTACCTCATGGTGTTTCACTAATAAAAATTAAAACAAACAAACAAAAAAAAACCTTCCCCAGCATTACTTGTATTCATTTGGGTGCTTGCATGTATCAAGGTCTGTATTATTTTGTTGCTTGTTTATCTCTGATTCTCAACTCTCCCCCACCCCTAACCTGTTCCAAAGGCCAAAAGGATACCTGACGTCTCCCTCTTTGAACTGTACACTCTTCTCCCTACCTCCCATTCTAGCAACTACTAAATAAATTTATCATTTCAAAAATGTTACATAAATGGAATCCTCGGATGTGTAACTTTTGGAAAGTGGTGCTTCTTTTGCTTGATAATACTTCCCTTTAAGTTACTTCATGAATCAAGAATTTGTTCCTTTTTAGTATCTAGTAATATTCCATGGTATGAGATATATAACAGTTTAACTATTCCCATGTTGCAAAATATCTGGACTAATTCCAGTTATTAGTTATTTTAAGTAAAGCTGCTATAAAAACACATGCTGGTTTTTGAGAAAACATTTCCTAATACTTCCAAAGCTACCTTTAGTTTTTCTAAATCATATATTTTATTCAGTGAGTAAACCACAATATTCCTTTAATTATCTTATGCAACAAAGAACACGGAAATCTTGTAACAATAAAGATAATATTCAAAAGATTATTATAATAAATATACTCACCAATAAAAGCACTATCAGATTCTAATAAAGAATTTTTCAAGAAGTCATTGTCATCATCTCTGGGCTAAAAGAAACGTGGGAAAAAATGCAAATTTGCATTAAGAAGCAGAAGTCACCACACTGACCCGAACCCGGAAGGAGTACGGGATGGAGCTAGGACTGGCCATAGCTGTCCTGTACTGCATACAAATGCCCAGGACGATGAAGCACATAAACCTCCTGCCTCGAGTCTCAGCACCAGTTAAAGACTAGAGGCTCAAACAAGCCAAGCTGTTCACTCCCTAACTCCATTTCTCCATCCCATTATGGCTGAAGTTAAAAGCCTAGCTTGCTGATGAAAATATAACAGTATATGAAGCAATGAGCCCACTTAAATACTGAGTCTTTACACCACTGCTGCTGAGATGCATTCATGTAGTAAACCTTAAAGTGCACTTATTATTTCCACCTCTCTGCTATCCTCATTTGAATGTCACTCAGTAATGCCCACTCTAATTTCAAATGCAAACATTCTCTCCCTAACACCTCTCAAATCCCCTTCCTTTCTCCCTCACAAAAGGAAGCTGCAGAGAGCAAGCATTTTTATTCCTTTTACTCATTTCATTCATTTCATCATCCTGTTATTCGTCGATTGCCTCGAGCAGGCCCCAGTAACGTCTCTTTCATCCTAGCCCTGAGATTATATTCAAGGCTCTTTAGGAGAATGAGACCCATCATTGTTACTGGTATTTGGCATATTTGGTACGCCACGGGGAGTTTGCCAGACTCTGCCCTGTGGGCAGGCTACATTCGATAGCCTGCAAGTTTGTCCAAAGTAGGAATGAGATAATAAGATGTCATAAAAAAGATGTCCTGATAAGATGTCACAGGGCCGCAAATGCCAAGACTCAGAGACTATAAAATCCAGCTCCCGGACGAGAACAGTGCAGTCTCCTGCCCCCGCGCCTGGCTGTTCCTCGCCGGGGCCCCTTGGAGGGGAGGGGGTTGAGCTTTCCTCCCCGCCCCGAACAGGGCTCGGGCAGCCAAAGACCTCCAGGACCAGCCACCACCATGCTGAGACCACTCTCCGCACACATGAAGGTACTGGCAGAGGGACAAATCCACGCGGGTTCCGGGGCCGAGATCTCCAAGCCTACTCGGATTGGAGTCGAGCATCCTCCACCCAGATCCTCCAAATTCCAGTAGGCGGGGGTCACACCCACCACCTGGCCCCCTGGCGCCGTGTAATCCCATCAGCGGCCAAGACTCAGAGACTACAAAATGCAGCTCCCGGACGAGACCAGTGCAGTCAGTTTCCTGCCCCTGCGCCTGGCTGTTCCTCGCCGGGGTCCCTTGGAGGGGAGCGGGTTGAGCTTTCCTCCCCACCCCGACCAGGGCTCCGGCAGCCGAAGACCTCCAGGACCAGCCACCACCATGGCGAGACCACTCTCCGCACACATGAAGGTACTGGCAGAGGGACAAATCCACGCGGGTTCCGGGGCCGAGATCTCCAAGCCTACTCGGATTGGAGTCGAGCATCCTCCACCCAGATCCTCCAAATTCCAGTAGGCTGGGGTCACACCCACCACCTGGCCCCCTGGCGCCGTGTAATCCCATCAACAGCCAAGACTCAGAGACTATAAAATCCAGCTCCTTTCACTCATTCTTACAATAATGTGCACTCCTATACACAGCACTTAAGAACCTGTTCATCTATGTATTCAATTACCACTGTTTGGTGTGTGCTGGGGACCACGCCGAGTGGTACTCAGGGGTCACCAGGGCCACACCCCAGCAATGGGTCGGGGATAAGAGGCAGGTGATACTGGGAATCAACCGCAGGGCTTCACACATTAACCATCTGCTCTACACTTGAGCTGCTATCTCCCCAGCACAATGAATATTTGTAGGATGAAAATGGCTCAAGCTTTTCAGACTTTGCAGAGATGTTCCCCTCTCAGATTAAGAGTAATGCTCTTGGGGGCTGAATCCATAGGGCACTTGCCTTGCACTCAGCAAACCTGGTTCAATTCCCAAGCACTGTATGGTCCTCCAAGCACCACTGAGTGACACTGGAGCACAGAGCTGGGAGTAGCCTTTGAACACCATCAGGAGAGCCCTTCACAGTAATATTTTGTTTTCTTTATAGTACTCAACACTATGAGGGGGGTAGGGTGAAAGGAGGGGTTGGACCATACTGGGCTGCGCTTAGGGATGGATCACTCCTGATGGTACTTAGGGGCCTGTATGTGGTGCTGGAGACCAAATCAAGGTCGGCCATGTGCTAGGTACATGTCCTTCCTGCCCTATTATCTCTCCAGTCCAAAGCCCCTATGTTTATTGTAGACTCATCTATTGTTAATACTAAGGAGACTCCTAGACTATACTTATAGGGTTATCTAATTGTAGAAGTTTTCATGTATTCTTTTTTTTTTCTTTTTTCTTTTTGGGTCACACATGGCGATGCACAGGGGTTACTCCTGGCTCTGCACTCAGGAATTACTCCTGGCAGTGCTCAAGGGACCATATGGGATGCTGTGAATCGAACTTGGGTTGGCCGCCTGTAAGGCAAACGCCCTACCCGCTGTGCTATCGCTCCAGCCCCCATGTATTATTTCACTTGATCCTTAAAACAACCCTTCAAAATACTTTTTATAGTAATAATTACTTCATTCCTAACCTATCCCTAAAGTGCCTTGCAAGTATTAATTCAACCATTATAATCACCTGCAGGGGCGTGTCCTGTTCTCCCACTTTACAGAATAGGCAACTGAGACAGAATTAAGTGCCTGAAGTCACACAGCTGAAACAAATGAACTCAAACAGCCTGGCTCTGATCCCCTTCTTAAGCATTACAATATGCTTTACACATTACACACATCTCTAATACCCACTATGCTGAAGAGATAAGATTAATATTTCTGGAAAAACTCAAAACTGGCATAATTTATCACAGTCCTAAAAATTTCATCCCCCCAAAATAACTTGAAAGACTGTAATTAAGTTTCTTACCATGCTGTGATCTCTTGCTTTAGCACCTGATACAGCACCCAAGTAAACTGTAGTCAATGGGCAACAAAAAACAAAAAGTTAATGAAAATACATTTCAGAATATCTTGACTAGATCTCTATTATAAATTATTTTATTAACTTTAAAATACATTTAGAGACACTATGTTAATAAGTATAAAACAACTATTTTAGTTGGATAAAATTCTCTCTAAATTACTGAATACAAAAAGTAAAAACAATAGGACAGAGGAAAAGAAAGTAATGCAGGATTTTTTATTTTCTCTCACACACTCTGTATAAAGTTTCTGAGTGGCACTAAACAGGGGGCTCTCTTACATGGAAATGAATGAGGCGAAATTCTAAGTACCTGGTTCCACAGGCCAAGATTTTAAATAAATATCCCCTTTAATCAGCACTCCTCTGAGTTCCTCGGGATTGTGCATTCTGTCCTTTCAGATTCTATCTTTGGAAATACTCTTATAGCCATGCTTTTTATTGTTTCGCAGTTAAACTTTAAATTTGTTTGGTTTGAGTTTTTTATTTTCTTCTTTTTTTTCCATATCCAGGTGTGTTTAGGGCTCCAGGTTTGCACTAAGGGATACTCTTGATGGGGCTCGGGGAACCGGATGCAGTGCTGGGTCAGCCACACGCAAGGCAAACACCCTATACTCTTTATACTCTATGCTATTGCTCCAGTCCCTAAACTTTAAATTATATAAATTACGTTGTAGTAGTGCTGCTAGAAGTTTAAAGGTGGTTGCTGATACTCTCAGTAACAAAATGTATCTGTATGCACCTCTACACTACTTTTGGGCTAACCAGACTAAGTTAGCAAGATCACAGAAGATCAGATGATCACTTGGCTACTGAAAGTAAAAATTCCATCAAAATAGGTATAAAGTTGAAGAATACATTTAAACCAAAGAATACTTCTCTCTTCCCTCTCTACCATATATCACAGAATGTGGTTATCCTGCTGTCACAGAAGAGGTCACTCCTGAACAAAGAACCAGGGGCAGCCCTGTGCACCTCCAGGTGTGCCCCCAAACCAAACCTCCCTCCTCCCGACCCCCCTGAAAAATATGACTAGTAGAGGGCCACGGAGATGGCTCTAAGGGCTACTGCATATGTTTTGCATGTGGGAGGCCTGGGTTCGATCCCTGGCACTACATGATCCTCAGAACACTGCTGAGAGAAAATCCCAAGGGCTAATCTACAAGCAGCTCATCATCACTAATGTCTCGCCCCAAAATAAATAAAGTGGTATTTCCATCCTATCCCTTTCTTATTACATACCAACTACATTTTATTCATTATCCACAGCAATTCTTAATGGTCTAAAGGCAGCACAACTGTGAAATAAGAATAAGGGCCGTCCTGAGTGCCCGAGAACAGATAACTGGTTAAAGAAACTTGGTTCATCTACACAATAGAATACTATGCAGCTGTTAGGAAAGATGAAGTTTATGAAATCTGCTTTTAAGTGGATGGTCATGGAGAGTATCATGCTAAGTGAAAGGAGTCAGAAAAAGAGGAACAGACATAGAATGACTACACTCATTTGTGGAATATAAAATAACATGAAATGAGACTGACACCCAAGGACAGTAGGGACAAGGGCCAGAAAGATTGCTCCATAGTTGGAAGCCTGCCTCATGAGCTGAGGGAGAAGGCAGCTGGAATATAGGGGGATCACTAAGTCAGTGACGGAGGGACCGCTTGAGATGGGAGATGTGTGCTGAAAGTAGATAAAGCACCAAATGTGATTGCCTCTCAGTAACTATATTGCAAACCATAATGCCCAAAAGTAGAGAGAGTCTAGGAGAAATTGTCTGCCACAGAGGCAGGGAAAGGGTTGGAAAGGCAGGGGTGGGAGTGGTATACTGGGGACACTGGTGGTGGAGAATGTGCACTGGTGGAGAGATGGGTATTCAATCATTGTATGACTCAAACTCAAACATGAAAGTTTTGAACTCTTATCTCACAGTGATTCAATTAAAAAAAAAGGGCTGTACAGTGCACCCAGGTCAGGAGAATCCATCTCTGTTCTCTGAGGAAATTAGCTACAAATATCCATCCACACGCCCTCTCTGTCACATAATTCCTGGAGGCCCTAGAACTCGCCTTTGCTTACTCATCCCTGTTATACTATTTAGCAGCTAATTTCCACAGTAATTTCCTGAGAACTAATTTCCTGAGAACAGCAGCGTATTTCATTATCGCCATATCCCCTAGACATGGGTTAATACCTGTGTTTACAGTATACAGTTACAGGCTAATTATCAAGAACATATTCAAAGTCCAGTCTAATATTTTACAAATTTTATGCAATGTTAAAACTTAAATGCACACATAGACACAGTAAAGAAATTCCCCATAAGGCATGGACAAGCTTCCTCAATATTCCTTTAGTTCTTATTTCCTGACACAATTATTACCTGACCTAGTGAAGGTCCTTACACCTCTGGGCTAAGGATGACTAGGTCCATCTCATACAGAAATGTGACCCTAGCCACACCACTCAGAACACTCTGGAACTTTTCTAGGCTTCTACACTGAAAACAGTCATTTGAACATTAGGCTGCCATTGAAGGAAAACTGTCTTAGATTACAATAAGAAAGAGACAATAGCTGGAAGAAAACAATGGCACTGATAATATTTAAACTAGTAATATTGTTTCTTACTGTTAGCATCTTCCTGAATCCTCATTCTATTCAGTCTCTTCTGCTGCTCTCTCAGTAAAGCTTGCTGCTGAATCTCTAAAGTGTGACGATCTCTTGGAGGATAAGGGTACATAAATTTTAAATCATACCGAGTGTCTGAATCTAATGGAAAGAAAAGTTATATTGTAGCTCGTTTGTATTGTTTTCAAATGAGATTTTATAAGATCATTATCAGTAACGAATACCCTAATTTAAAAATGAAGGAACAATATAAATAATGGGGCATCACCAAAGTCAAAGATACAAAAATGAGTATTTTTAAATAAGTTGCATTTCATATTCAATATTCTAAGGAAGCCCTAGAGAAGCAGCAGCTGATCAGTGCAATCTCCATCCCTTTCTTCTCTACTTCCTCAAGATGTCACAGAGATAGTCGTGTCACAGCTGTATGGTTATGAATCAGGAAGCTAAGATATACTCTAATCAAGACTCCTGTCTAAAACTAGAAAAATAAAAGCAATATTATTGACCAACTGGTATTTTAACCTTTAAGAATATTGTAATATGCTGAATGTCAAACTGGTTGGAACTTTAAGAATTTTCAATACTGTGGTAAAGGGAAATGTGTTTGATATTTGCATGACTGAGACCTAAACCTGAAAGCTTTGTAACCTTTCCCACAGTGATTCAATAAATAAATAAATAAATAAAAATAATAAATTTTAAAAAATTTTTAAAAAAAAGAATTATTAGTTGAGGGTTGGAGTGATAGCACAGTGGGTAGGGTATTTGCCTTTCATGTGGCTGACCTGGGTTCGATTCCCAGAATCCCATATGGTTCCCTGAGCACCGCCAGGAGTAATCCCTGAGTGAAGAGTCAGGAGTAACCCCTGTGCATCGACAGGTGTAACCCAAAAATCAAAAAAAAATTATTACTTGATAAATACATTGAATTATTTTTATCAGATTAATCACTTAAAATTAATTTTGTTTGTGATTATATTTTAAAAGATAAATACGCTTTATCTTTTAAATTTAACTTTAATTTTGTAAGAATAAACTGGCTAATGGAACTTAATATTGTTTTGTGAGAAGAAAAGAAAGAAGTATGATGATAAGGTCTATAAAGGAAGTGAGAAAACTGTAATCAAGAAAAATCTATAGAAGGAAGCAAAATACTGAATTAAGCAAACTGACACTTAAGTTGAAACACGGGTTGTGACTCCTATAAACATGAACGAAAGGTGAAGAAGATGAAAGTGAGAAAGATAAAAATAAAGATCAGGCATTTGGGGTGTATCTGAATATCAATTTGTATTCTAATGCATATAAAAGAATGAATTAATAGCATATTAAACTTCTATAATTCTGAATGCAACTACGGCCATCATATTAAAGTTTCTGGAATCTTGCATATGTAGGAATCTACTATAGGTAGGAATGAAGTTTTCATTCTGTTTTGGCCATGTATTTTCATAGATTACAAGCTTTCACTAATTCTGAAAAGATTACCAACCATGCTGTTTACCAGGAACTATTGTGTATGCTCGGATAATTTTAGTAAAGTAAACAGAGATTTCTGTCTTTATGAAGACTGGTTTACTTTGTTCAGATTTGGATTTTGCATATAACAAGTTATTTTGATGTTCTTGCTCCAACAAGTTTTTATTCTTATAGAAACTTATTTGATGGGAAAGCTAACTTTCTTTTTCAGTATTTGCTATACAGAGTAGTGTTTTATAATTGGGTGTAAATTTCTTAGATCACTAAACCTAGCCTATTTGTCTCATGAAAAAAAAAAAGAATTTTCAATACTGTTATGAAATGATGGTCTAAATAAACTCAAGGATATCAATCTATGACCTTAAAAATGCTACATACTAATGTTTAAAACTTGATAAAAATATATATAAAAATATATAAAAGGCACTGAAAATATTTTCTTTGATCTACTTCATAACCTACTAGGATAAAGTTTAAAGAAGCAACCCTAAATATGTTTTAAAAAAACAACTTCAAGAACAGAAATTGTCAAAATAGTGAAAAATGAAAGGCAAACTGAATTTCTAAAATTAGATTCAGCTTAAAGGTAAACAGAAGAGACTCTGGACACATGGACTGGACCTTGATTTTACTATTTCTACATTCAGTTACCTCTCTATAAAAACAAAAGATATAGAAGATTTATAAAAACAAAACAACTATGCCATACCACAAATGAGGACTACCTGTGATAAGACAGGAAGATAAATCAATGAAATTTTAAGACTTAAATCTTTTATCAACATCATTAAAAACAACTTTGTGGGGGCTTGGAGAGTGGAGGAGGGAAACGAGAAGGTGCCTTGGTACATCAGCAAAGAGAAATGGACACTCTGGTGGTATTGGAATGATATATGCAAGAAACTACCATTGACAGTTTTATAAAAATGGTATCTCAATAAAAGTGCAAATAAAAACAAAAGCTATGTGTCATCTAAGCAGCCAAATTAGCTTCATCTTCACACTGATAAACTGAATAAAAGTGTAAAATTTTTATTATCAAAATAAGAAAAAATTTATCGTTACTTAAGTATCATGAATGAAGTTTTACTTTAGAAATGTTTATAAAGATACTTGAACATGGACAGAATGGATAGTTAAAGCAACAACTCTTACTCACCTTTACCCTTTAGCTCATTAAAGTCAAAAATATTCTGATATGTAGTGGGCTCTAAGCCCTTTGGTGATTGTCTTCTGACAGGTGCTTGTACCCGGTGTCTAGCCTTGTCAAATATATACATGGGATTCCTTTCTCTTTTCCTAGAGATAAATGATAAATGCTGGTATATGTATTCTATGAGAAGAAAATCTGAGTTCACACAAATTGTACAAGGAATTTGTCATCTTTCATCACAATCCATTTTAATAATCTACTTGGGGGCCAGAGTGCTAGTACAGCAGGTAAGCTGCTTGCCTTGCATGTGGCTGACCCATGTTCAACCCCTGGCATCCCAGGTGGCTCCCAAACCCACCAGGAGTGAATCTGAGGGCAAAGCCAGGACCAAGCCCTGAGCACTGCCAGGTGTAGCTCAAAAACAATTTATTTTGAAAAGTTCTCTTTTCCCAATTTTGGGGCAACACAGTGGTACTCAGAGCTTACTCCTGACTCAGTGCTCAAGAACCAACCTGGGTGGTGCTCAGGGAAGAAGATGTGATGCTGAGAATCAAACTGGGGTTCACCGTGACTAAGGCATGTGCCTTAACTCTTGCATTATTTCTCTGGCTCAGTTATTTTAGTCCTTTTTGGGTGTGGTTTGGGTTGGGGTGGAGGGAGGACAGACAAAGTTATACGAAAATATATGGCATTTAAGGCTGTTGTAATCTTTCAAAATGCTCAGATAAAAAAAGACCTTATTAGAAGAGTGGAATGAAGGGAACAGGGATATCACTCAAAGGCAAATACATAAGACATGGGTTTAAACCCTAGCACCTCAAAGAAAAAAATTAAATAAGTAAATAAGAGTATAACAATGGACCTTTACTTTAAAATCTTTACATAACTGAAAGATCATAAACATCAAGGTCAGAGAAAACAAGTCTCAAAGACTAGTTCTGCTACTTACTAGCAAATTTGACCTTGATTTCATCATCTGATAAAGCATTCTTTATTCAGAGTCTGAAAGAATTCAAGCAAACTAAAAATTGCAAATTAAAACTTGCCTTAAATGAATTTCATCATCATTATCCATTTGTAGCAGCTGTCCCTGGAGACGCCGTTCTTCACTTCGAAGTTGTTTTCTCATTTCTGATAATTCCATAATTACGTTTTTTTTCTCCTCTATTTAAAAATAGGACATGTATTAAGAACAAAATATCACACATTAAATATAACCTGTCTTGTTAAATAAAAATTCCCAAAGAGAAATTTTAATGAAAGATAGTACAGTTTTAAAAGCTAAGAAGAAAAACCTTTAGGAAAATATTCTTGGAGAAGAGAAACAGGGGAACGCAGCTCTATGAATATATATATATAGCACTGTCCTTCCACTGTTCATCTATTTTGCTCGAGTGGGCCCAGTAACATCTCCATTGTGAGACTTGTTGTTACTGTGTTTGCCATATCGAATACATCACGGGTAGCTTGCCAGGCTTTGCCGTGCAGGAAAGATACTCTTGGCTGCTTGCCGGGCTCTCTGAGAGGGGCAGAAGAATCAAACCCAGGTCGGCCATGTTGGCTGCATGCAAGGCAAATGCCCTACCTGCTGTGCTATCACTCCAGCCCATAATATATATATATTTGCATATATATATATGTATCTCAGGAACGGATATAACTGAAAGGGCTGAAATGCACACCTACTGTACAAGAAGCCCCAAGTTCAACTGCTAGAACAGCACACCCCCAATCACCACCATATAGGGGTCCTCAGCACTGCATTTCTAGCCCAAACTTTGAACATTTCTGACCCACAAAACTAAGTATTACCAAGAATGGAGCTTAGTACCTTTACCTTAATATCCTGATACACAGAACATACACATACACAAACACATTAATTAGTGCATACAACTGATGAATTATTGAAGCAGAGTCTTTAGTGTGTACCAATGTCAACTTCCTCATAAAATATACTAATTAAGATGTTGCAAATAAGGGGTTGAGAGCACATAGGACTTGTATCCACTATTTCTGTAAGATTTTCTGAATCTATGATTATTTTTAAATTGAGTTAAAAATAAACACTTGCCAGAAAAAATATTACAACTTTAATACTACCTTCGGCTCGAAGCTGATTTTTCCTGGCAGGTACAGGAGGAGACTGTGTTCTGCATATGGAACTTTCCTGTTGAAAAATCAAGACAAAGATATGCTATTATTGTTCTTCCTACTAAGAAGTTTAAAAAGAGTTGTTTTTTAGGTTTTGTTTGGGGGCCATGCCCAGCAGTGCTCGGGACTATTCCTGGCTCTGCTCCCAGGGATCATCCTGGCAGGGCACAGGGGCCATATGTGGTGCTGGGGAATGATGCCATTTCAGCCGTATGCAAAGCAAGTGCTTTCCTCTCTATTATTTCTCCAAGCCCTAAAAAGTAATTTTTAAAAAAATTACATTAAAAAAAAAACCCTCACTATTCTACCTAGAAACTTACCTCTATTTTTTTTTCTCCCAATGGACAAGTCCTTGTTCCTTTGTCAAGAACCCTTTCACTCATCCTCTACCTCTGACTCCCCCCTTCTTCTTCAATAATTACCCTCTTTCTCCCTCCCCAAGCATTCCTCTCAGCCTAAGCTTAACAATCTCTCCCTTCTTTAAGTACAACCTAACCTTTTAAAACTATCATCCATTCTCCCACTCATAGCCAAGTTTCTTTAAAAAGAAGTAAGTGATACTTATGGAGACATATTGTGGTAAATGACACTTATTCCTGTGCACTTCTCATCATATACTGCCTTTGCTGCTAAAACTCATTATTCCTCTAACAATGCTCTCATCAAGATCTTGAGCTGATTCCCAAGTGACACATTAATGCATACTTTTAAGCTCTTGTTCTACTCTGCCACTCTGTCATGTTCTCTGCTCTATTTCCTTATTTCCTTTCTCTGCTTCCTAAATATGTTATTCCTAGGATTTCCTTCAGAGCCCCTTTATTCCCCAAAACTCATCCAAGATAATTATACTATTTTTTAAAAACCAACTTAATCACTTCCAAAACTACAAATCCAGTTCAGAGCTCCTTTCCTCAATCACAGCATATATTTTCTATCATCTTCCCTAAATAATCATTACCAGAAATTGAATGTTTCCCAACTCACAAATTTTATCTCTTAAATTCCACTACCTGCATCTCTTACAAATTCATGTTAAGGATCCACTAGTCTATACAGAATAAAGTCAAGTTCCGTGGCAATTCAGACAAAGCCTGCATATATTCTGATGGTGAGCTCCACTTCCACCTCTGTTAGGCATTACTGGACCACATCAAACAGTCTCTATGTGCACTATGCAGCTTACACTCTGATTTTTCTAAAAGTTTCTCTCACTCCTCTTAATGGCAAAGTCCTACTCATTCGAGAGTTATCACCAGAATCAATCCTGTGGAATAATACTGTCCCAACTCTCTTGGAAATTAAAGCTTGGACTAAAAGATAAGGTTTACCTACACTTAAGAAAGAGGTATATACCTTTGTAATTTATTTTTTATAATTTACATAACTGGTAAGGTGTTAAATTAGAGTACCCCTGTACCACCAAACTGCCCAAAGTCTTCCACCACTGTCCCTATGTATCCTCTTTGAGGGCCATTTGAAAAATTATAGCTTGCCAAAAGAATCTGAATTTTAAGGCACAAAGTCTGTCAGTTACAAATGAAGAAGTAGCAAATTAGGTATTTCATTACGAAAAAAATTTAACCTAAGTTGATTAAGTAAGAAAGTCTCATCTTGGGGCCTGAGCAATAGTACAACAGGTAGGGCTCTTGCTTTGCACGCGACCAAGCCAGGTTCAATAGCCAGAACCCCATACAGTCCCCTGCGCCCACCAGGAGTGATCCCTGAGTGTAGAGCCAGGAGTAAACCCCGAGCACCAGTGGTGTGGCCCCAAACAAAAACAAACAAAAAATCTCACCCTTGGGCCACAGAAATGGTACAGAGCACAGGGTACTTGACTTGCATACAGCCAGCCCCCATTCAATCCCCTGCACCACTTAGGGTCCTCCAAGCCCCATCAGGAGTGACCTCTAAGCACAGAGCAAGGAACAGCCCCTGAGCACCTCTGGTGGGCCCATCCCCATCCAAAAAGTATTTAATTCAATTTTTCTCATCTAAAGGAACTGGTCTAAAATTAACAAGTCAAAAGAAAAAGTACATACTTGAGAAAAGCAACTTAGAATGCTGTTGGCAGAAGGAGGTGTTTGCAGCTTGCTTGCTATTTTATTCTGAAGAGCAGGAACTACAGGAGAAGGTTGTCTCAGGCGCTGGGTGGGGGAGCAGGGGAAGAATATAGAGGTACATATTAACAAAAACACTTGAGCAGCTCAGGGTGCTACTGTTTCTGTTTAATGAAAGACATTTTACATCAAAAAATGAATTTCCTTTTTTTCTTTTTTTAAAATTGAATCACCATGAGGTACAGTTACAAGGTTGTTCATGACGGGGTTTCAGTCAGACAATGTTCCAGCACCCATTTGTCCAGCAGTGTACATTTCCCACTATCCCCATCCCCATTCCCTCCTACCACCTCCCCACCAGCCCCACATCACCCCAAGCTGCCTCTATAGAAGGCACTTTCCTTTTCTCTATTTCCTTTTGGGCATTATGATTCGCAATACAGGTACTGAGAGGTTATCATGTATATCCCTTTACCTACTTTCAGCACTCAGTTCTTGTCCAGAGTGATCATTTCCAACTAGCACTGTCTTACTGGTCCTTTTCCTATCGTAAATGCCCTCCCCCCATCCTTCCACTGTGGCAAGCTTCCATCCATGGACCAGTCCTCCTGGCCTTTGTTTTATTCTGTCCGTGGGTATTAGTCTCATTTTACCCTTTTTTTATATCCCACAGATGAACGCAATCATTCTGTGTCTTTCTCCTTTTATCATTTAAATCTCCCTACTGTAATTCATGAAACTTAAAGCAACAGCACATCAACTATAAACAGAAGTGAAAAACTACAAGGCAAATTTTAAAATTTATTTTAATAAAAAAATAGAGATAATAGTCCTCTCTAGAAAACAATGTAATTCAACTTTTAAAATTTATTTTTAACATACCATGTTGAGCCAAAGAGGCACTGAACAAGCCAAGCACATGCTGAAAGCTTTGCATGACGGCCTGAGTGCCTGAGAGATCTGTTGTAATTCTGCCCTTTTCAACTCTGAGCCAGTGATTTGGGCATTGTGCTTTTCTCTCATGAGTCTAGTCTCTTGTGAGTCAAAGATTTGTCTAGCTTTATTATTTCAAAGAACCAGCTCCTGGTTTCATTGATTCTACTGTACTACTACTTCCTTGATTATCATCAATTTCTGCTCTAGTTTTTATTATTTCCTTCTGCCTACTAGTTTTGGGATTCACTTGCTATTCCTTTTCCAAGTGTTTCAAGACATATTTAAGTTGTTAGTTGGAGTTTTTTTTTTTTCCGCCCCAAACGTAGACCAGTATTGACTGCTACGCATTTCTCACTTTGTACAGACTTTGCTATGTCCCACAGATTTTTGCCTCTTTATTCTCATTCACTTCTAGAAACCTTCATTTCTCCTTCAATTTACTTTAATTAGTTGTTACTTGGCAGTGTTGTAATTAGCTTCCTCATACTGGGAGTTTTTCCCCAACTTTTTCTTCTCTTTGCTTTTCCTTTTTGGGTCACACCCAGCAATGTTCAGGGGCTACTCCTGGCTCTATACTCCTGGCGGTGCTCAGGGGACCATACAGGATACCAGCAATCAAATCCAGGTCAGCCTCATGCAGGGCAAACATCTTACCTACTGTACTACGACCCCTCCCCACCTTTTTTATGGTTAATTTCTATCTTCATAGCATAATCTGAGAAGGTGCTAGGTCTAATCTCTAAATTCATAAATTTACAAATTGACATATATATATTATTCCAATATATTTTCATTTTGTCCTAGTATGTAATCTATGCAACAGAATGTTCTATGAGCACTAGAGAAGAATGTACATTCTGCTTTTTGATGATGGAAGGCTCTATATGTCAATTAATCCCAGTTCTTTTAATTCCTCATTTAGGGTTCTTGTATCTTTACTGGTATTTTGTCTGGTTGATATAACAGTGGAGTATCAAAATCTCCCACCACCATTATGTTTCCATCAAAGTGTTTCTTTAGGAACCTTTACAAACTTCAGTGTACCTTAATTTGGTGCATATGTGCTGATATAAGTATTCTTGAGAGGTGGGAGTGACAGTAGAAAGGGTTAGGGCATCTACCTTGCATGAGTCTGACCCGAGGTTTGATCCCCAGCATCCATAATAGTCCCCCCGCAAGCACTACCAGGACTGATCCCTGAGCACAGAGCCAGGAGTAATCCCTAAGCACTGTCAGGTGTGGCACCTTCAAGCCCCACTCCTCCACCCCCCCAAAAAAAGTACTATTGCATCTACTCTTCCCTTAACCAGTAAGTAATGTCCATTCCTTCCTCTAATTATTTTCTTTAGACTAAATGCTATTTTGCTCTGATCACTGTCCCAGGTTTTCTTTTTCACCAACCATTGGCTTACTATAACTGTTTTGCAGCTTTTCACTCTAAGCCTATATTTATCCTGTGAACTTAGGTGTGCTTTCAGTAAGCAGCAAATTAAGAATTTTCTTTCCTGACCTAGTCAGCTACTCCTTCGTGGCAGCAGGGATCAAACCCTAAATTTCACAAATGCAGACATGTCCACTTAGTTATATCCCTATTCCCTAGTTTCTTTATTAAATGATAACCATAGTAGAAAACTGTGTGAAACAGATTAAGGTGAAATTAATATCTATATCTCAAGGGAGTACTCAAAGAGGAAGTAAAATCAATGAAAAATAAATGTTTTTAAAGCATATAAAATTCAAACCCAACATTTTAATTAGATTCAAGAAATGTAAAATTATCTTGAAAATTTGTTACAAAAATTTTCAAGCATTCTGAATTTCTATACTTATTCATGCCATGAATGGTGCTGGTCCAAAGACAGTACAAAAGAAAAGAAAGGTAAGCATGTTACCCAGTGAATTAATCAGTGGGAACAACAGCAGCAACTTGCAATGGTATCATCTCCTATAGGAAGGAAGCTTAGTGCACCACACTCTAAGGAAGTCAGACAAAGGCGGAAAGCAAAGTATCTCCTTACCTCCTCCCTGATGCTACAACTCTACAATTCTCATGTTGAAGGAGGCCTAAAGTATGGGTCTGAGTAACATTTCTGACTTAAACTTACATTGGTTTCACCTCCAGTCAAATTTTCTCTCTCATAGTAGTGCTGAAGTTGTAGATTATGTCTTTCTTCTTCTTCTCTTTTCTTTTTTTCTGCTTCTTTTCGTCTTTCTTCAGCTAACCGTATAAGTTCTTCATTTTTCAGCCTTTGCTTTAAGATAAAAAGAAAAGTATATATTCCATACATGCATTCCATACTTCACTCAAAAATAAGCTGTCTTCTTGCTTGAAATAAGAGGATAAAAACTGAAGCTACAGATGATACAGAATTCCTTAATACAAGCCCACCTGCTTAACAATATTAGACTTGGTCATAATATTTTTAGCCTACACCGCCTTCCTTTTTTCAGCACTTTTCAATTTTTCACTTTACAAAGAAGGAAAACAGAACAGAAAAAAATGTACCTCCTCCTCTTTCTCCCTTTTTTTTTCTTGCTCCTCTTCATACTCTTGTTGAATCCGTGCCCTTTGCTCTGCAAGCCGCTTTTCTTCCTTTTCTTCTTCAATTCTCAGTTTCTCTCGCTCTGCTTCTTCTCTTTGTTTCTTTTCCTCAATCTGAAGAATTAAAACGAGGTATTACTTTGTAAAACTATTGAAGTTAGAATATCACTTAATTTTTGTCTGGCAACCCACAAATTTAATATTCGTACCCTTATTTTACAAATAAAAGTATGCTCCCAAATTTTTCAATTTCCTGCATCTTATTAGGAAAAGAGATAATTTTTTTAAACTTTTCTATCTGATTTAAAGGAGTTAGTAATATCTATATCTCAAAGGAGTATAAAGATGAAGTAAAACAGTATTATGTGAATACTATATGAATTATCCTTTTACCAATACGGCAGGATTTATGAGATGGGAAAACTGATAGTCAATGCTTCCCAAGAAATGTAAGTGTAGAGCCTACTGATGCAATATAGAAAGTCAAGAGCCTGGACTGAAGCCCTGGCCTCACAATTTTCTAGCTTTACTGCCATGGGTGAGTCTGTCTGTCTATCTAACTAGCTGTTTATCACAAAAGTACGAATAACTTTCTTAAAGAACTTTGAAGGTTTAATGAGGTATGTAAAAGAATGTGTAAAATGCTTATATGCAAAGTATCTTATAATGAACAAAAAAATCTACAGTTACAAGATTCTTCCTTTTTCCTGAATTTTATCTTACGCCAAGTAAGATAAATTTTAATTTATCCACTTGCTTTAAATTTTTCCACTTGCAACCCCTTTTCCCCAAAACACTGCAACGTGGGCAAGCACTGTCAAAAACACCTTGATTTCATTCATTAAGCATTTGATTTTGAATTATTTTTCTGAACTCTGTGTTCAAAAACCTTTCACTACAGCCAAATTTTTCACAGACCCTATGAAAAGTTTTAGGTTTGTGTGACCCATGGTTTAAGAAGCTAGGCCCCTGATAATAAAATTTTATTTAAATTTTGACTTGCCGTCATTATAATCAATATATCATTGGGTATATTGATTTAATTCACTATACCTACATGAAAACAATTCAAAGCAGAACTCTGACACAAAATCTGCTGTTCCCTGATTTAGTGGTCAATAACCTCGGGGCTTCTGATGCCACTCTCTTCAATATTTCTACTTATTCCATGATCCTTATATAGATCTTTCCATTTATACCACCGCCACCATTCTAGTAAAATGTCCCTGGCTTTCAATCTTTTAAATCCTCCAATAATATGTCCTAAATTCTAAGGCTAGATTAAATATCCTTAGGACTACTTCAATTATGTCACAGCTTTAAGAGTTCATCTTTTTTAATAATTAGGAATAAAAAGATATGCTTAAGAGAAATATATTGTTAAAAACTGGAATTAGAGTAACAGCCTTAAATATCAGACTAAGGAAACTTAGACATTTTCTGTAGAACAGCTAATACTAAGTCTTGAGCAGACTATAACATGTGAGATTCCAAGGAAGCTTCAACAAGCCCTAAGATTCATCTGAGGGTGGAGCAGAAGTGTAGGTGTGAAGAGGTGGGGCTCTTGTTCATCTCAGGATTCATCCCTAGCACTTAGCACAGGGGAGACATATATGGGAATTCATTAATTCAGTCCGCTTAATAAACACTACATGTGTAATTATATAATCTATATTTCTAAGTCAAAAAAGTTTTTGGGGAAACAACTGATCTTTCTACACTGAATGTTGTAATACACTGAATATTGACAAAGTCACTTCATTCCTGAAAGATATATTTTTTAAGCCTTTTAGTTTTAGAAATTTTAGCATCTCTCCACTATAGTACAGTGAAACTTAGAAAGTAATGTCAATTAATATACAGTTCTCCTTATTTATTTTTCAAGTATAAATGAATTTTAGTACTCCCTCTGATTTTTATAAATTAGATGTTTTTTTTTCTTTTGTCTTTTGTTTTTTATGTGGGGGCCAAACCCAGCAGTGCTCAGGGTGGTCCTATGCAGGGCAGGGATCAAACCAAGGTCAGCTGCATGCAAGGCAAGCACTTTAATCCCTGTACTATCTCTAGGGCCCAAAAAATAACTGTACAATATCTTGGAATCTTGTAACAAAAATTTCTGCAGATTCAGTTATTTAAATTTTCATAAATCTTTGAAACTATAACAAGAATTTCACCTGAAAACGAAGAAAGTTCTTATATAATTCTTGCTGTTTGATCTGAAGTTCGGTTGGAGGCTCACCAAATACGTTTCCCCGGGCAAAGGGTGAGCTCTGTGATTGCATATAACCTTAAAAAAGAAAGTTTGCAAAACCGTAGTCAATATTTAGAAAACATAAGACTGTGAAGAGTTTGCTAACAAATTCATTTTTTAAGTGAAAAAAATTTGCAAAATCCAGGTTTAAATCAGAAGAAAAAATTAAAATTAGAATCTGAAAATCAGATTAAAAATAACAAAAGAGGACCGGCAGGAGGGTACAGCTCAAAGTGTGGCACACATGCTTTGCATGCAGGAGGCCTGGTTGAATCCCCAGCACTGCAGAGACCCCCAAGCACCACTGGGAACAACCCCCAAGCACTGTGCCAGGGCGAGGCCCAAAAACACAATCAACAAAAGAAAATTACTGAGAGTGAAATGAAACCTGAAAAGTCATAAAATATCTAATATATTGATACCTGAAAGACATTAAGAGAATATAAAGGTATAGCTCAAACAAGTCTCACTGCAGCAAAGGCTTTAAAGTAAAATATATGGAGAAGAAAAATAAGTAAATGTTTTAAGTTTTTATGTATATAAATCTTTTTCTTAATAATACTGCTTGATTATCTATTAAAACATATTATGCACACAGGTATCAAAAATTCTAAAGTGTTTCCAAAAATTAGCAATACTAAGAGTATTTCCAAGAACATTAGTTTAAACAATGGATTAGAAAGCCAAACTAGGCCAGGACCATAGTCCAAGTGGAAGAACACAACCCTGCACGAGGGAGGGCCTGGCTTTGATCCTTGGAGCTGCATGGTGCCAGGCTCACACGGAATATGGCCCTCAGAAAGAACAACAACAAAATAACAAAATCATCTCTAAGACAATTTCTTATAAATTAGAATGACTTTCCATTTTTGCAACAATTTTTGTTTTTTAACTATATAAAATTTATGGGACATAAACAAGAATAATAAAAATGTTATATATTACCTAAAACTTGTTTCACAAGAACAACTTGAAAAATAATTATATCTAAGAAGTCTCTTTGAATGCAGAAAGAAAATTGTTCAAACTTAAGTTTTCCTTAACTTCTTGTATTTTTTTAGTTACTGGTTCACCTTTTTTGCTATAAATCTAAAGTATTTATTTCACTCAGTCAGTCACCAGTGATTCTACAGTTAGGCTGCTATTCAGATATATTTTCCTTTTTGACATAAATGCATTAATGGTTATTTGATTAACTCAACAGAAAGACAAATTAAAATGTTAAAATCCTAGTATGATGAAAAAGCTGATTAACAAAATGAATTTATATAGTGTGCTTCACGGGGATCACTCAACTTCTCAACCTCTGAAGCAATTAGAGAAGAAATACTGTTAGATAGAATAGCTTATTTTAAAAATAAATATAAAAATAAAACCAGAGGGGAAAGAAACACTTGTGTAATACTCCTCCCCAAAAAGTACCTAGAGTGCAATAAAATAAATTTAAAAAAATATTTAAACCAAATCATTACACACCTCATAAACATGGTTCTTCATCATATACAAAAAGTGAAAAACAAACATTAGGAAGGGAATCAAAAATAGATCTGGTAAGGGTAAGAGATATACTACCGCAAGTAGTATATTTTTTGCCCTTCACACAGCTGACTCGGGTTTGGTTCCCTGCAACACCTGATCCCGAGCATGCCAGGAGTGACCCCTGAGCACAGAGCCAGGAGTAAGCCCTGAGCACTGCCAGGTGTGACTCCAAAACCAAAAGAAAGGGGAAAAAAATTGATCTGTTTAAAGGAAATAGATATGAACTGTAAGCCCAGGTGATAGCATTCAGTTTTCAGATATAGTTGAGTTCTCTAAGGTCTTAAGGTTATTAAATCCCACTTATGTGTGTGCACACGTGTATAAATATACACATTTCTACATATATATATAAATGAAATTTTTATACATATATAAAATGGCAGGTTTACATAGTTTCTTGCATTTTGGAAAAACTGTTTTTAAGATAATCATTAGAGAATTGAAATAACTTAAGAAATTTCAATTCATAGGAAAAAAGTTCAACATGCTATGATTTTACTATATCTTAAACTATAGTACTCTCACCCCAACACCAGCATCAAAGCCCAGTGGCTTACAGAAATACTACAGACATTCTGCTGTGCACATTTAATGTTCTCTTTCCTGGGAAATCGTGGCAAGCGTGTTAGGAAAAACATATTTTCTCAGTGATTTTGATGGATAAGCAGAGCTAAATTTGTAATTTTTTACTACTAAGCTAGAGCAACTAACCTTAGGCTGAGAGAGAATTACAAACAATACTAGGTGCAGAAAGAAAGGTAATAGAAGAGGTTGCACTGAAATCTTAATTTTGACTACTAAAGCAAATGAAGAGAAAAGTCAAAGCCAAAATTCCCTCTAAGCAGCATTAAAAGGAAGCATTTTGTTTGATTTTGCTTTGAGCCATTCTCTGTAGTGCTTAGCTTACTCCTGGCTTCGTACTCAGGAATCACTCCTTGACATGGCTTGGGGAACCATACAGGGTATTACAGATTCAACTTGGGATGGCCAAATGCCCTACCCATTGTACTACCTCTCAAGCCAATCAGAGGTATTTTGATACATAAAGAGTTATTACAAACTCACAGAGTCAAATTAACAATTTTATCAAAATCAAAAGATCCAATTTAACAGCTTCAAAAATCAAAACTGGATCCACTAGGTAAAACAATCTATTCTGAATCAAAATAAGCAGCTACAGTATTTAGATGAGATTGGACGCGTTCAGGGTGGTAAGGCTGTAGACTCTACAGGATTTAGAGATGAACTTTTATGAGCTGAATCTGAATAGGTATGACAACATACAACACTCTAAAGTGCTCACCCCTGAAATGCTCAGAAGGTTTCAAAGATTAGTGCTATCATCAAAGGCTTAAAAGTTACAAGGCAGGACTGGAGCAATAGCACAGTGGGTAAGGCGTTTGCCTTGCATGCGGCCGACCCGGGTTCAATTCCCAGCATCCCCTATGGTCCCCTGAGCACCACCAAGGGTAATTCCTGAGCGCAGAGAAGGAGTTACCCCTGTGCATCACCGGGTGTGACCCAAAAGCCAAAAAAAAAAAAAAAAAGTTACAAGGCTAGGGACTGTGATTAAAGCATTTGCCTTGTATTTGTCTGACACTGATTCTAGCCCAGGCCTCACATATGGTCCCCTGAGTACTGCCAGGAGTGATCCCTGAGGGCTGAGCAAGAAAAAGGCCCTGAGCACCTCTGGGTGTGTCCCAACACCCCCAATGCTCCAAAAAAGGAAAAAAAAAAAGATTCAAGGCTTGTAATTCTAGCACCCTTTGGCTAGTTAATTCATAAAAAATTTAAAAAGGTTTTTAAAAATAATTTTTAAAAGACAATAATCAAGGGCAGGGAGATAAAACAGGGGAAAGGCACTTGCCTTGCATATGGCCAACCCCAGTTTGAGTCCTGGCACCACAAATGGTCCCTGAGCACTGCCAGAGTTCACTCCTGAGAACAATGCCAGGAATAGCCCCCTGAGAACCAGCAGGTGGGACCAATTAATCCTCACCCCCAAAAGAGAGACAGATCAGTTAGGAATAGAAAATTCTTTCCTAATCTAAAAGTAAAAAGCAGAATTTGTAGTAAATAAGTGATATTATAGGCACCAAAATATAGTACAGGTGGGAGACCTTTAAATTTTAATTTTTAAATATGTAACATTTTCATATATACCTAATAAAACTTTTTCTAGCAAGTTATTAAAATATTTGATAAATTTCAATATATATGAATTAATATAAAGTATGTTTAATATTAAAGATTTAAGAAAGGGAAGGATAATAATACATCAAAGAAAATTTCAATTACTCCATTTCTTGCATATTGAGGTTTTGCAAGATAGAACAAACAGTTACAAAACAAGAAAAAAACTGATTGCATTGTATAATGACAAGTCCATATATACTGATTTCATAACATGCAGACCACATATACAAAATGCAAACTGTGTATAAGTAAAAATCATTTAGATGTTCTAAAATTGGATTCCCACTATCAAAATAAAAATGTTAGCAATGGCTCAAGAATCTAAAAGCAAATTACAAAGTTGAGAATATTTAGTTCTAAGAAGCAAACTGTATCTACCTATTATTTTTAAAAATACATATGAAGCGAAGACATTGTAAACATTAATACTTTGTCATGCTTTCTGACATGTAACTGAAATGCACCATTTTCTCAGTAAGAAAATTCTCAAAATCAAAATAAGAACCTTGTTAGAATAGAAATGTTAATGAACAAATTTAGGAATGTAAACAAAAAATAAAATATGATTTAAAAACCTGAGTTTTTATTTGCAGAATCTTCTAGGTTTTCAGCATTTGAAGTGGCTAAATTTTTGTCTAGAGATACAACAGCCCTTTTATCTTCATATATTCTTGCATCTGGGTTATGGTAGGCATCTATATTTTGTCTGTGCATCCTATTCAAATCAGCTGAGAGGGAAAGATAAGCCATATATTTCAATAAATACTTTTCCACAATTAAACATTTTTAACACACATCTTATTGAGGTTAGAGAATCAGAAAAATAACAGGATAATTCAAAACATCAGAATAATTCAATGATAGCTTGTGCCCAAAAATGAATATAAAACTATCAAAACCGGAAAGATTATTTTAAAATAAGCTTATATCATAACCTAAAATTACTAGCGAACTTAAGTAAATACACTTCAAAAACCCTGAAAACCACATTATTACTTCTTACTACAAACCTCAGAATGTCTTTAATACAAAATAGTGGAATTTACTTAAATTATTAATGCTTCTTATGTAATAATATAATCATAAAGAGAATTTTAAAATACACCCACAAATTCTTTGACAATCTTATTTTAAAAGATGGAACTCAATCACATTCTATGGGCCAGAATTAATAATTCACTTACAAACAGAATACTACAAAAGAGTGGCATATGACTTCAAGGTTACTTCATAAAAGACAATATGATTTCCATGCTACTTGATCTATCAGATCATTCTGAAGAAAGCTACCACATCCTTAAGGATGTCTTAAGGGAAGGCCTGCATAGTAAGACTGAAGACTCCTAACCTGTGTGAGGGAACCTATTGGAAATAATCATCTAAAGGTTTGTCTGAGATTGGGGACTCCATTCAAGTCATCCCAGTCAAGCCTTCTGAAGGGTGTAGTTCTGACTGACATCCTGCTACAGCATCCATATGGGAGACTCTGAGACACGACCTCAAAATAAACTACTTATAAATTACTTATTTAAAGAAGTACATGAAAATGAATATCTTTTATTTTAAAACCTTGTGTTTTGGGAAAATTCTTATACAGCAATAAAAACATATATATGCAAAATTTTAAATCTAAATAGAGTTGGGTTAATGAGTTAGGCAATCTTAATAAGAGAACTGACTGTAGAACTCAAAAGCTCTAGCCAAAAAAAAAAAGCATTTCTCTAGGAAAATGATCAGGCATGTAGTTCAGTGGTAGAGCATCTGCCTTGCATATGTGAGGACCTTGACACCATAAAAAAAAAAAAGGAACATAAATTGGGATTTCAGTTATTTACAAAAAGACAGCATCAAATAGGCACAAGAAATCTTGTGTGTGTGTGTGTGTGTGTGTGTGTGTGTGTGGTGGTGGTGGTGATGGTGGTGATGGTGGTGAGGAGGGGGGTGGCTTAGGCCACAGCCAGTGGTGTTCAAGTCTATTCCTGGCTCTATTCTAGCAATGATGCACAGGGAAACATATGAGGTGCTGAGAATAGAACTGGGGTCAACTGTATGCAAATAACTTCTGTACAATGTTTCATCCCCCAGAGTTCGAGTCTCACTAAGAAATGTAAATAAATCATAAGAGGGTGGTAAGAAATACCAATGATAAGCAGAGGCTCTTTTTGAATATGATTTATATTAAGGTATTGCAAGAAGTATATATCAAGGTCCAGAATTTTTTTTTTGCTTATTTGATTTTAAGAATATAAGTAAACTAAGTATGTTTAAAGGAGGAATGAGAATAAAATTAATTAAGAAAAAAAGAGAAGGAACAGAAATCATAGGCGGAAAGTTGATTACAAGAAAATTATCAAGTCCAAGCCTTGGCTAAGAGCACCTAAAAAAGTACTCTCCCCAAAGAGCAGAAAAAAAACAGGAAAGTTTAAGCACCACATACGTGCTATCGAGTGACGGTAGGGCGTTTGCCTTGCAAGCAGCCAACATGGCCGACTCGAGTTTGATTCCTCCGCCCCTCTCGGAGAGCCCGGCAAGCTACCGAGAGTATCTCGCCCGCACGGCAGAGCCTGGCAAGCTCCCCGTGACGAATTCGATATGCCAAACACAGTAACAACAAAGTCTCCCATGGAGATGTTACTGGGCCCGCTCGAGCAATCGATGATCAACGGGAGGGCCTTTACTACTTACTTATATGTGCAACTCCAATTCCCCAAAACCACCATCATCACAAATAATTAACGTGGGGTTGCAACTGTAGCTCTGCAGCATAGCACATGTTTTGCATTTGTGAAAATTTAGGTTCAAAACCAAGGAATGCAAATATAAAAAAGTATTATTTGTGGTCCCTGAAAATTTACAAAAATGAAACAAAAATGTTTAAAAGGTGAATCTGTATCTAAGACATTCAAGTCACCAAGATAGTTAAAAGATCAGCTGTATCATCAAGAAATCATTATGAATAATATATGTGGCATTCTTTTTTTCCCTTTTGGTTTTGGGCACACCTGACTGCACTCAGAAGTTACTCCAGGATTGGGGAACCGTATGGAATGCCATGGATCGAACCAGCCTTGACCACACACAAGGTAAACTCCCCACCCACTACACTATTGCTCCAGCCCCCATATGTATTCTTTTCACTATACGAGTTCAGTATATCAGGCTGACTCCTTCTAAATCAGACCCAGACCTCTTTAATCAACCTAGTGAATAATAGCAGGATGCTTTTTTTTTATAGTCATCTAAGCAAAGCATATATTAAGAGATAAATACCTGTGATTAAATAAACATTAATAAAGTTCAAAATCGCTAATAAATGACTAGTGTTGACTACATTCAGTTCTCTCAATTAGAATAGTTAATGTATTTATATGAAAGGAAATTAATATATGATTAAGATCTGAAGCTAAGAGACAGTGAAAAGGCTAAAGCTTAAGCACCCTTCATGGTGCTCCCAAAGTCAGATCAACAAAAGATTGAGGACCCAAAAAACTTCAGAGGGAGAAAAGAGTAAGACTCAACAATCAAAATTTCATATTGTTTTTGGTAGGAAAAATGATTTCTCAATCAACTAATCACTCCCTGTCTGTTTCTGTGGGGCAGAGTGCTGGACAGACCAGGGAACAACCTTCTGCAGCTAGCAAGGCACACTTGACTTCTCATGATAAACTATAGCTCAAAGATGAAAAATTCATACAGGTGAGTGAGAAGACTAAAAAAGAGGCATACCACTGTCAGACCAAATCAAGTAAAAGAAAGTAATGAGATAGGGATGGGCATTACACACTGGCTAAGGGATTAAAATATCATCAGGATATATCTCTGATCAAATGAAGATGCAGCAAAGTTTATAAAGCAATTGGTAATAGACCCGAGGAAACACCTTGACACACTACAGCCAGACAGAATATCAATAAGAAAATAAGAATCTTAGATAAGGAACTAGAAGATTAATACACATGTACAGAAATCTTTTGCAAATTTTTCTGAGGATTTTGCTGGTTTTCACCATTTTTACCTTAGCTTTTTAAGAAGTCCTTGCAGAAATGGGTTACATCAAACAAATGCACTCAGCTATTGCTTGCTTGAGGGTTTTTTTATTTAGTATTTGGGTCACACCTGGCAATGTACAGGGGTTACTCCTTGCTCTGCACTCAGGAATCACTCTTCACAGTGCTTGTGGCAGTGCCATATGGGATGCCAGCAATGTAACAATATATTTATCATTCCCTCAAATCTGAGTGATAACTTTGCATAGCAGAGGGTATTTAGTTGGACTTGCTTTTCTTTCAGTACTTCAGTTCTGGGCTAGAGAGATAACACAGCGTGTAAGGCATTTGCCTTGCACACGGCTGACTTGGGTTAGATTCCTATGTCCCTCTCGGAGAGCCCAGCAAGCTACTGAGAGTATCCTGCCCGCATGGCAGAGCCTGACAAGCTCCCCATGGCGTATTTGATAAGCCAAAAACAGTAACAAGTCCTCCAACGGAGACGCTACTGGTGCCCACTCGAGCAAATCGATGAACAACGAGAAGACAGTGCTACTTCAGTTCTAGTCTACTGTAGCTGCAAATCCTTTTGGATCGCAAAAGCTGCTGTGAACAGAACTGTGACCCTGCTGAGAGGGGATCCAGGCTGTGGCCCCATGGGGCGGTGACCCTGGTGGGTGTTCAGGTACAGGATTTTCCATCTGCAAAAAGCCAAATACACAACCTTCTCCAGTATACAATGGTACATTCTCCAAAACATATCATATGCCGGGGCACAATTTAAGGGCCCTTCACTGTCACTGTCCTCCCATTGTTCATCAATTTGCTCAAGTGGGTCCAATAACGTCTCCATTGGAGACTTTGTTGTTACTGTGTTTGGCATATCGAATACATCACGGGTAGCTTGCCAGGCTCTGCCGTGGGGGCGAGATACTCTCGGTAGCTTGCCAGGCTCTCCGAGAGGGGCGGAGGAATCGAACTCGGGTCGGCCATGTTGGCTGCGTGCAAGGCAAACACCCTACCGCTGTGCTATTGCTCCAGCCCAAGGGCTCTTACTAACATAAAAATATAAATTATTGTCAAATAATTTTTCAAATCATAATACCATGAAAGGGCTAGAGCGATAGCACAGCAGTAGGGCGTTTGCCTTGCACGCAGCCAACATGGCTGACCCGAGTTCGATTCCTCCGCCCCTCTCGGAGAGCCCGGCAAGCTGCCGAGAGTATCTCGCCCGCATGGCAAAGCCTGGCAAGCTACCCGTGATGCATTCAATATGCCAAACACAGTAACAACAAGTCTCACGATGGAGACGTTACTGGGCCCGCTCGAGCAAATCGATGAACAATGGGAGGACCGTGACCGTTAATACCATGAAGGTAGAAATTAACTTTTAAAAAACTGAGCTGGGGGGCTGGAGCAATACCACAGCGGGTAGGATGTTTGCCTAATATGCGGCCGACCCGGGTTCGATTCCCAGCATCCCATATGGTCCCCTGAGCACCACCAGGGTTAATTCCTGACTGCAGAGCCAGGAGCAACCCCTGTGCATCACCGCGTATGACCCAAAAAGCAAATAATAATAATAATAATAATAAATTAGCTGGGGGCTGGAGCAACAGCACAATGGGTAGGAAATTTGCCTTGTACACGGCCTACCCGGGTTCGATTCCCAGCATCCTATATGGTCCCCTGAGCTCTGCCAGGAGTAACTCCTGATGCAGAGTCAGGAGCATCCCCTGTGC